TTTCTACAATTTCTGTTGCCCCCTTAAAAAATCTAGCCAGCTTTATTCCTGTGTTTCTGTCACAACTTAATGACATTGTTGCACATATGAAGCCTTCTGGTTCGTCCTGTGATGTCATTCCTGCCACCTTATTTAAGGAGGTGATGCACTCAATTGGTCCAAGTGTGCTTTCAATTGTAAATAGTAGTCTCTCTACTGATATCGTTCCAATTAGTTTTAAACATGCTGTTATTCAGCCCCTGCTAAAGAAAGCGAATCTTGACGTCTCAGACATGAAGAATTTTCGCCCCATTTCTAAATTGCCTTTTATCTCAACAATTTTAGAGAAGGTTGTGTCTGTACAACTAAATGAGTTTCTGGCTAATAATAATATTTTTGATAAGTTTCAGTCTGGTTTTAGAGCTCGCCATAGCACAGAGTCCGCTCTATTGAGGGTTTCTAATGATATCTTGTTGGAGGTTGATTCAGGTAGCCCTGTTGTTCTTGTACTGTTAGATCTCACTGCTGCTTTTGATACAGTGGATCATGATATTCTCACTGATCGGCTAAGAGAACTCGCTGATATCCAGGGTCTGGCCTTAGATTGGTTCGCCTTATATCTGAAGGATAGAACTATATCTGTCAGTTTGGGCAACTCCTCTTCATCTGTCATGCAATTAATGTGTGGGATACCGCAAGGCTCAATACTGGGTCCTGTTTTGTTCTCCCTTTACTTACTTCCTATAGGAAAATTTTTTGAAAAGCATGGCATAAATTACCATCTATATGCTGATGACTCTCAAATCTACTTCCCTATAAAATCTAGGGATCAATCCTCCTTTCAGGCTTTGCTTAATTGTTTGGCTGATGTGAAGTGTTGGTTGGCAAATAATTTTCTCCAACTGAATGAAGATAAGTGCGAAATTATTGTTTTTGGCCAAAAAGGTTCAGACTCTAATAGCAATCTGTCATTGCTTCCTGGGAAAATACATTCCTCAGTAAAGAGTCTTGGTGTCATCTTTGACTCTGAGCTAAAATTTGATCGGCAAATTAATGCGGTTGTCAAAAATAGTTTTTTCTATTTTAGATATATTGCCAAGCTAAAGTCTATCCTCTCTTTCAGTGATTTAGAGAAAGTTGTTCATGCTCTTATTTCTTCTCATCTGGACTATTGCAACGCATTGTATCTGGGTGTGAGTCAAGCCTCTCTCTCGCGACTGCAGCTGGTCCAGAACGCAGCTGCCAGGCTTTTAACAGGCACAAGAAAAACGAGAGCACATTACACCTGTACTTGTTTCCCTTCACTGGCTGCCAATCCAGTTTAGAATTCAGTACAATGTTCTGTTGTATGTTTTTAAATCCCTCCATGGCCTGGCCCCTGAGTATATCTCTAAGCTAGTTATTATGCACCAACCTGTGAGATCTCTTCGCTCTATGGATCGTCTCTATTTGCAAGTTCGTAGATCTGCTTAAAATGTCGAGGTGATAGAGCTTTCTCAGTAGCAGCTCTAAGACTCTGGAACGATCTCCCACTCTCTTTAAGAACAGCTCAAACTTTTGAGTCTTTTCAAAGGTCACTGAAAACACACTTATTTTCTTTAGCTTTTAATCATGTGATATGAGTTTATGTATTTTTGGTTTTATGTATATTTTACATGCTTTTTTATTTGATTTTATGTACAGCACTTTGGTAATCCATTGTGATTTGTGAAAGTGCTATAGAAATAAAAAGTGAGTTGAGTTGAGTTTGTCTTCTTTACGAAAGTTATGACATCCAAATAAAATATCCTTATACAACAAAGATAAACTTTGAGAGGAAAAGGTGTGTAAAAAAATCCAGAAATCCTTCCAAAATAAATTAGCATAAGTACACTCCCAAAACATATGGGACACAGATTCATCTTCAGTGCCACAGAAGGAACATGAAGTATCAATATTTGGATACATCTTTTTAATATAAAGTTTAACAGGGTAAAATAAGTGCAGCAATTTGTAAGAGACATCTCTTACTTTATTGGTTATTAAGTATTTGCATGATAATGTCCACACTTTTTTCCATGGGATATTCTCATATAAGCCATTCCAGTGGGACACAATATATGGAAGAGAAGTAAGCTCCGCCTGAAACAACTGTCGAATTCTTTTGTTCCGACCAGAGGGAGTAGATATAAAACAAATGTTCCCAATCATTGTATCAAAAGGATGAACTATTGACAAATAACTCTGGGATCTGGCAGAGTTCTTTAGAAGAGATATGGCTCCATGGGGAATAGCATTCATTATTATGGAGAACTCACAAGAAGTGACAGGAATATTGTATTTATTTAGAAATTCTGAATAAGAATACAAGTAACCATCAGAATTTAATAACTGAGAAACTAAGATAATATTGTTTTGGATCCAATTAGGGAAGAATAATGATTTGTTTTTGTATAAAATATTACAATTGTTCCAAATAAAATAACTGTGAGGACTAAAATCATGCTTGTAAATCAGATGCCATGCCAGAAGTACTTGTTTATGAAAGTTGGATAATTTGAGGGGCAATTTAGCGATATTATAATTACACATTAATAGAAAGGGGAGACCTCCAACCTTAGAGAAAACAATATTAGGAAGAGTGTTCCAAAATGAATCCGGATTGGATAGATACTGCTTTAACCAATTTACCTTAAAAGTGTTATTTAAAAAGCCAAAATCTAAAAGATTTAAACCACCACATTCGTATCGATTTATAACAACAGATTTCTTGACATAATGTCTCCTATGCTTCCACAGAAAGTAAAATAACATTCTATCAATGTCTGCACATACATGTTTATCTACATATAGAGAAAGGGCGGGGTAAGTCATTCTAGAAATACCTTCGGCTTTAGCAATGAGGGTCCGGCCTCTTAGAGATAAATCTCTCTGTAACCATGAATTAAATTTTTTTTTAGCTTTCTCAATAACTGGGACAAAGTTTGATCTGCATCTGTTTTTTTTCATCCTTGCATATCGACACACCAAGATATGTTACTTGTGATTTAACAGGAATGTTATAAAGAGAGGAAGAGTGACAATCTCTGATAGCTAATAAGTTTGATAGCGACTGGAATTTGTGATTTATCTTTAAGAAACAAAGTAGTGTCATCGGCTAGTTGACTGATAAGTATGTGTTTATTAACAACAGTAGTACCCTGTAAATCACTACTCGAAAGGGAGAAGGAAAGAAATTGTGCAGCTATAAGAAATAAATAAGGTGAAACAGGGCAACCCTGACAAACTCCTCTTGACAGCTGAAATCTTGGAGAGGTGCCCCATTTAAGATTAATAGAGCAATTGGCATTATTGTAAATAGTTCTTATAAATTTACAAAATGATTCACCAAATCCAAGCTTTTGGAGAGATAAAAAATAATTTGTGGTTGAGAGAGTCAAATGCTTTATAGAAATCTAAGAAAAGAATAAAGATGTCATCATTAATTATTCAGGATAATCTAATAAATCTAAAACAAGACGGATATCATTAACAATATGTCTTTTTGGCATAAATCCTGATTGAGTCTCATCAATAACAGAGTTTAGAACTTTTTTTAAGTGTTTTAGCTAAAATAAAGGCTAATATTTTATAATCATTATTGAGCAGACAGATAGGTCGCCAATTATCTATTAGAGAAAGGTCTTTTTTGGGTTTAGGTATTAGAGTTAGTAAACCTTGTGTTAAACTTGGAGGCAAACTTTCTGACTGAACACTCTCCGAAAACATCTCTAGCAGGAATGGTGCTAATTCTCTTCCAAAACATTTGTAAAATTCAGCCGTTAGGCCATCTGTGCCAGGAGATTTGTTATTTTTGAGACCTCCAATGCTGTCAGTTATATCAGTAATATTTATATTTTTATCACAGGCAGATTGCTCATCATTAGAAATTAGATTAATTTCCTTTAAAGACTGAAAGAAAAGGGATGCAGATTCTTCGCAATAATTAGATTTATAGAGTTCTGAATAGAAGTTACTACAGAAAGAGGCAATTTCTTTAGGATTATTTGTTAAAATGCATTTGTAAAGAGTCAATAGTGAGAATTTTAGAATTATGTTTTTCCATTAAAAAAAAATAAGCAGAGCTTTGTTCACCTTGTTCTAGCCATTTCCTCCTAGAGCGGATATAGGAGCCTTCGGCTTTATACTTATAAATTAATTCTAATTTACATTGAAGTTCTGCAAGCTCTGTTAAATCAGCTTCTGTCATGTCTTCATGATTTTTCGTTTGAAGTGATATAATATTAGAAATGACCTTTTCCTCTTCGTACCTCCTCTGTTTTGCCAGATTGGCGCTAAAGTGCCTGACACATAATCCTATCTCGTATTTTAGTAACTCCCAATTAGATCTAAATTTTGGCAGATGAAGCTTTGGTCCAGTAGAATTGAATCAAATAAGAAATTATTTTTTCAACTCATCATGATTAAGCAGAGAAGAGTTCATTTTCCAATAAGAGGCTCTAAAATTAATGTTTTTGTGTCCTGTGGATAGAGGAATAGAAAGAAGAATAGTGTGGTGATCTGTTAACGGTGAGGGAAGGATACTAACTGAAACATTCAAATTTTTAAAGGCATGAGGAACAAGCCAATAATCTACACGGGAAAGTCTTGATTGGTTCTTATTACGCCATGTGTAAGATTTAACATTACAATACTTCTCCCTCCAGATATCAATTAAATCAAACTTATCCATAAACATTCTTAATTTTGAATTAGGAGAAGCAGCCTGTTTGGGAGGAAATCTATCTAGATTGTTGTTAGGGGCAATATTAAAATATCCACCAATACAGATCAGGGCATCTGGAAGTGTATTAGACCTACCAAAATTATTTCACAATTGAAACAAACAATTGAAATAGACAAAAGAAAATTAAACAGACAAAAGAAAAAAAACTTGTAAAGATTAAGGTGCATAGCAGCTTGTCACGGTTGTGGATTCATCTGCTTCTTATTTGAAGTGTCTGCGTTGTGTGACAGTTCATTATTATGATACGTGTTTCTAAGTATGTGTGCCTTTCTTTCTGTGTTTGTGTGGGTGTCGCGTGGCTGTCAGTGGGTGTTTGTTTTCATGTCATCACATGATCTTTGTTACCGGAACTGTTCCGTAGCGCCGCTCGGCTGATAATCAGCGAGCTACAGGTGTAGCGCATTTTTTGTGCCTATAAATGTTCAGCGTTCCTGTCTCACTTTGTCAGTTCGTTGTTTGCTCATGGTTCTTTGTGTTTTGTCAGGCTCCTCTCTTCGCTGGTGGTGAGTGGTCTGGTTGTATTCCATGTTGCAGTCTCTGATGCTTCCTGTTTCTTCCTGATGAATGTGTGATCCGCTCTGTTGATGAGTTACATCTGAGACATCCCGGTTTCTTCTATGACGAATGTTTTATCTGCTCTGTTGATGAGTATTATGAACATTTGATCAGTGCTGCCGAACCAGACCACCACTATAATTATTCACCTGTTCAGTGCCTCCAGCCACTCACCAATTTCCTGTCCATTTGTGAGAACAATATTAAAAGACTTTGTTTTGCTTGCAATTGGGTTCCTCATCTTTTATGTAACGTGACAGCAGCTGACTAATAAAACAACTAAAGCCATTTTTCGGCATAAATGCAGTCAGTCACTAATTTTTTTTCTTGTATAGAATGAGCAGTTATATCTACTTAAATCGAATAATTCTACTGTGCTACTCCAGCCACAGCAGCCCTCTTCTTTCTCGATCAGGCACGATTAAGTCCTCTGTGAAGCGAAGTTGACTGGCAGAAACTCCGACGTTCTTGCTACTGTGGTGTTTTGTATAGATTTGTAAATGAATATCAGCCGGAAAACTCTGCTTAGCTCCACACTACTTCACTTTATTTTTGTTCTCCCACTCTCCCTTCCACACACCTCTCTGACGCCTAGTGGTCACAAACAGTAATAATAGAACTGAACATTAAACAACACAACATTTTCCCCCCTTTTTAGATTAGCACTAGGGAAGGTGTTCAACAACCACTCTACAAACTGAATTCACCAATTTATCAGTTGTGAGGTTAGACTTAACCAATATGCATATAATAATAATTATTATTATTTCAGCACCGATACAAACTTAAGCATAACTCCACTGTGCATGTAATAAGAAAACAAAAAAAACAATGTAGAATTACTATTCAACATGTAACCCCTTAAGGCTTGCAACTTTATAACACTGATATAGCCTTGCTATAGTGAGGAATGTGCATGCGTAAATTGTTCATGTTACAAAGTCATTGTGCCAGACTGGTTGCCGTCTGGTTCAAGGATGTTTCTGGTTTTCAAGTGGGACAACTGATTTTGAGGCGCCCGTAGATTCATTATCAGAGTTGCTTTGCACAGGACATGGTGACAGGTGAACAGCGTTCCAGACTTTTCCATTATCCAGAATATATGTGTCCTGGCTTTTTTTTCCCAAAACCATACGTGGTGAACTGAATTTCCCCCTGCTTTTTTTTACATGAGTGGGTATCCTCACACGCACTTTGTCACCTGGTTGTAAGGCAGATGGTTGTCCAGCCCGTTTTTTGTCAGTATATATTTTGACTCGAGCTTGTCGCGCCTGAACATGAGCTCGCACCATAGCGTCGGTACAAGCAGAAGGCCTAGTGGGCAGACTGTCCAAGTTCGTTCTAAGTTTGCGTCCCACCAAGAGTTCACTAGGAGCAACGCCTGTGGTGGCATGAGGTGTAGTACGATAGTGCAACAAGAAGTCCCTCACTGCCTTTTTCCACGGTTTTCCTTCCAAGCTTGCTGTTTGAACCCAATCCTTCAGGACACGATTCATACGCTCCACAGCACCATTAGCTTGTGAAAAATACAGGGAAGTACGCACATGCTGGATATTCCTGTTTGTCAGAAACTCTGCAAAAACCAGAGATGTAAATTGCACACCATTATCAGTCACTATTTCCACCAGGTTACCAAACCAGCTGAATGTTGTGGTGAGAAATTCAATGACAGTGGTAGTAGTGACATTACGGGTGAAGGCTATCTCTGGCCACTTACTGTAGTAGTCAACTAATGTGAGTGCATACCTGCAATCCCAGGTTCCTAACTCAAATGGTCTTACAATATCCAATCCAACCTTTAGCAAGGGTGCATATGGAAATGGTACAGGCTGGAGAGGAGGTGTATGCGTTTTCGCACTCTTGTCATGAGCTTGGCAAATCTGACATGATGCAATAGCAGACTGAACTAAATTATCCATGCCAGGCCACCAGTACAAGTCACGGAGCCTCTGTTTTGTTCTAACAATGCCCTGGTGTGTCGTTCCCGGAACCCGGCTTGTAAGACACCTCATAGTTATAGCAAAGAAGACGGGTGGATCATCTTGCAATGCGCATTCCAGCACGGCCCATACCCTTAGTTGCAAGCAAGGTAGTTAAAGCTTGATGATCCGTTCTAAGCGTGAACCGTCGGCCCCATAAGAATGTTCTTCACCGTTCCACGGCCCACACACAGGCCAGTGCCTCTTTCTCCACAATGGAGTACTTCCTCTCAGCTGTTGAGAGTGTGCGAGAAGCAAATGCAATAGTACGCTCAGAGCCGTCTGCATGGATTTGAGTTAAAACAGCCCCTAATCCATAATCTGAGGCGTCACAGGTTACCAGTGTATGCAAAACTGAGTCAAAAATTGCAAGGGCTAGGCTGTTAACAATGAGCTCCTTTTATTTCTCAAAGCTCCTCTGAGCACTCTCAGTCCAACTGAAAGGATCCATGTTTCTTAAGCACGCCCTCATAGGCTCTACCTCTGAGGAGTAGTTTAGCACAAACCGTGAATACCAGGATGTCAGTCCAAGAAATTAACGTACTTTGGCTGCATCCGTTGGGGTTGGTGCTTGCAAAATAGCCTGGATATGACAATCGTTGGGTAGCAGGCCTTTTGTCGTGATAGTATGTCCCAGGTAAGGAAGGCTTGTGCAGCTGAACTTGCATTTATCATGATTTAGTGTGAGTCCTGCACGTTGTAATGCCATTAACATGGCCTGTAGGTTGTGATCATTTTCGGCTGGTGTGCGTCCATACACAATGACATCATCTAGATAATTCTGAACTCCTTGAAAGCCTTTCAATATTGTAACCATCATTTTTTGAAAAGCGGCTGGTGCTGAAGCCAGTCCATATGGGACCCGACGGAATCTGAACAATCCTTCATGAGTTATGAAAGCCATCAGATCTCTGCTGTCCTCGTGAAGTGTCACTTGTAGGTATGCATTGTTTAAATCAATGCTTGAAAATATGGTGGCTTCCCTTAACTCAGTAAATAAATCCTCCATGTGTGGGAGTGGATGGCTGTCAATTATTATTGCTCTGTTGGGCTCCCGCAGGTCCACACATAAGCGAATTTCTCCATTTTTTTTCGTAGTCACCACAATAGGGGACACCCACGGGGAAGCATCCACCCGTTCAATAATGCCTTCAGCTTGTAAGCGGCAAAGCTCTTGGGAAACTGCATTTCTCACTGATAAGGGGAGTCTGCAAAGTTTTTGTTGTACAGGCTTTACTTAGTCTTTTATTTTCACCTGGTGTACAAAGCCTATAGCACAGCCAATGCCCTCTTTTGTTGATGTCTTTATTTGTTGCACTGTAGTAGTAGGAGTGGGTGGGACCAATTCATTCCCCGCAATGTGAATATTTAAGCCAGAAACTAATACCCAGTATAGGGGTGCCTTTCTCCACAACATAGATGCTAGTGCTTGATACAGCATTACCATAATGCACATGCACCGATAGACATCCAAGTACAGGCAGTGCTGCTTTTGAGTATGTCACCAATTTCATTTGTGGGCGTCGTAACGGTGAAAAGCTGAAATGTTGTTTATAAAGGTGATGAGGAAAAATAGAGACAGCCGAGCCAGTGTCGACGGTGAGCTCAGTCGGCACTGGGCCTAGTTCGTCTGTTTCAATGTTTACAGTGCAATTTATTTTATCACAGAGTGACTTCCCTTCCACTTCAAGTACATGCACAATTTCAGGGACCTCCATCTCTGGAGCATCAAGTAATTGGACTCTTTTCTCAGAGCTCAAACTCTTGCAAAATGTCCTAATTTTTCACATTTATTACACGTGACTTTAGCAGCTGGACAATTTGGAGCATTAGCCAGATGGGAAGTAGACCCACAGCGGAAACAAGCTCGATTAACCTGTGCAGTAGTTTGTAATTGTTTTTTAGTCATATGTTTCCCTCAGAATTTTAGACGCTGTGGTGTCCTGCCATGCTGAGCAGATTTTATTTCGTGCACAGGGGCCGCATCTAATGTTTGTGCGTGCCCCACGGCGGTCTCTGTTTGACCCGCCAATAACATTGCATTCGTCAATGTTTACTGCGGCTGTAATAAAAGCCGTTCCCGAATACGTGGAGAGAATGCTTTCTCTACCAGTTGATCTCGGATCATTTCATCCGTGCGATCGCCGAAGTTACAGTATGTACTTAGCTCACGTAAAGCAACAACATAGTCCTTCACGGATTCATCCGGCCGCTGTGTACGTTGTCTGAATTTGTGTCGTTCCACGACGATGTTTGTAATCGGCTGAAAGTGTTCTTCAAGGGCTTTAAAAGCATCAGCAAGATTCTGACCCGTATTGGGTAACGTATAGAAAACTCTTAAACCCTCGGCTCCCAAGCACTGTAGCAAGACAGCACGCTTCCTCTCTTCTGGCCACCGATCTCCCGTAGCATCGATTGCAACCAGATAGTTTTCAAACATCTTCTTCCACGTATGAATCGGAAGGGGGGGCTGGCCCAGGCATGTTAAAAACATAGGAGGTGTAGGTAAACTAAGTGCTGCCATCCTCGTCGCCAAAAATGTGGTGTTTTGTATAGATTTGTAAATGAATATCAGCCGGACAACTCTGCTTAGCTCCTCGCCACTCGAGAAGAAAACTGAATAATGATGGGTCGAGGCTGAGAACTATTTTGAAGCCTCTTTCCAATTTGGTGAACCGTATCAATTTTGTCTGTTAGGTTGTGGCCTCCCTCCGGGAACGTAGCTTCGCAGATGCGGATGGACTCCGCTCTTACATCCTCTCGCTCCTTTTCAGGTACACCTTGCAAACCCAGATTCCAACGCCGGGAATACCGTTCCATTTCAGTAAGATGCTGTTCAATAAATGTTATCTGCTTCTCATCAGCATTCATTCTCGTCTCAAAATGACTTATTTTGCCTTTGATGTCATTTATTTCGGAACATACAAAGTCCACTGTTTTTTTCAAGCCTTCAATTTTGAGGGCGTTTTCACTCACCATTTTCTCTATGTTGTCTGAACTGGTGTTGATTAGTTGAGAAAGCGTTGTGATCACGGAAGAAGTGTCATTATCTGCTTTGCCCTTTTTAGATGGGGGTTTAGCCGGACTATCTGGAAGCGGCATTATAGCCCCGGTTAGAGTTTCCTCCGTTGATGCATAGTTATGAAAGTTCATCTTTGAGGTATGCGACGAGTCTTTCTTTTTCTCAGTGGTCGGCTTCATATTCAGAATCTTAGGGTAGGTAAAGAGGTAGACGTGTATAATTTTATG